GTAAACCATCGGGTGTCAATGCAGTACTGCTGTAGCTTGTGTCACACACAAGGCGGTCGGTTCTCAACTGCTGTATTCGGTCAGCCCTGCGCGCCCCCAGACAGGGCCGCAGTGGCGCCACCAGGCATCACACATGGTCGGTTGGTCAGAGGCGCGGTCAGGGCGACAGGAATGGGGAACGATCTATCGCATCCCTCCACCCTTGGACAACACGTGGTGTGGAAGAAATAAACAATTGAACGGCAAACACGTAACATCAACTGCATCCCACATCTCAGTCATACGATAGCTTTTCAGGCGGGCAGTGGCGCCACCAGGCATCACACATGGTCGGTTGGTCAGAGGCGCGGTCAGGGCGACAGGAATGGGGAACGATCTATCGCAGCTTGATTAGCAGTCGGTCATGGGGAATCGTGTCAAAACACTTGGAAAGGTCAAGCATACAGAGTAGCGCTATCTGCCGTCTGTCCATTCCCTCTAGCAGTCTATCGGTCATCGTCAGATCGGTCGTCGGTCATTGTAGCGGCCCCGCACGATAGTGCGGCGCGGCACGCCGCCGAACTGGAGCGGCCGTCGATCCATTTCCTCCAGCTGGCCCCAAAGGCCACGGATCCGGTCGGCCTGGAGCGCCGTCAGCGACAGGCCCTCGCCATGCTGTACAAGGACGGCTCCTCGCCGCGGTCCTCCCCCAGCTGCTCCTCGCCGCAGTCCTCCCCCAGCTGCTCGCCGCCGCAGTCTCCTTCGGTGACGTCCAGGACGTGCTCGGGCAGAGGCAGGCTGGAGTCTGGCAGCGGCTCACCGAGTACCTCCCCCTGCCGCGCCAGGTACTCGACGCCGAGGGCTTCGCCTGCGCGCAGAGGGCGAGCACACCCGTCACCCATCTGGAGTGTGTCAGCTACCACACCCACTGACCAATGGCACACGGCATGAAAATTGTTATATCCACCAATTGAATATTAAACCCTCTCGATTCATAGTCTGTGCTAATATCTCCTCGTTCCTTCCTTTGTATGTTGCCGTCGCGCTGACTTGATCGGGGATGACCAGGTGGGTCACTTCGCTGGTTTTTCCGTTCATGCTCTTTCCGGCAAGGAATCCCAGGGTTTCGGTGTTTTCATTTGAGTTGTTCTCAGATAATGTTAAAAAAGTGCGACCGTATTCTTCGTTAGATTAGGTTTTACTGAGGTTGCTGCCGACTTGCAGTTGCTCATGATGTCCTTGAGTGCTGTCTCCACGAGTAAACATTTTCGGTTTTTACGCGTTTTAGCAAACGATAGTTTTGCGCTTTTTTCGCTTTTTAACGGACGTTTTTGCGAGTTCTGCAAGTTTTTACGTTACCATATTGTTATCACCGCTATGACATTATCAATTAATTATATATCGATGATCTGAAATTATCTGATATCGTAATATCTGTTATCCATAGACTCACTATGTAATTGTGTGACATCTAACGGGTGAGCACTTACTTTTTGCACAAAAATTTAGTTTGCATATCTCCAGTGTATTTTGAGATAACATTACCAAACTTTCAGCACAGGATGGCAGCATCGCTATGTACCTGCCATCACTAGTGAAGGGCCGTTGTGACACCGTTGCGCTTTGCAGCCCGCACGCGCTTCGGGACCGCCCTCATCATGCCGTGCACCACCTCCAAGTCAATCTCTTGCAGAGCTTGACGTATCCGCCTCTTCAAACCCTCGTCACTCTTTGCTGACCAGCCACCTTTGTACACCCTCTGCTTCATGAGACCCCAAAAGTCCTCGATTGGCCGCAGTTGGGGGACGTTGGGGGGATTCTTCTCGCGGGGTACATACCGCACGTTTGACCGGTCCAGGAGTTCCAGGGTCTCACGTGCGTAGTGCGAGGCTGCCAGATCCGGCCAGAACACATACCCTCCATGTTGTGCCAGAAAAGGCAAAAGTTCGCCCTTGATACACTTCTCCCGGTACACAGCACCGTTAACATTTGCGCGACTGGGGGTGATTACCGGCCGGCACTTGCTGGGTGACGAGTCACCCTGGGTCTTATCTGGCAACATCTTTTCCTTTATCCGTTCAATCGAATTCCAAGTAATCTACTCGATCTGATACCAATCCAACTAGTCCATACGTCTATTCTAATCTAGTCCTTACGCCTAGTCAGCTGTCTTTTACGATACGCTTGGAGTATTTTACCCTTCTTTGCTCTTTTTAACCAGCTTTTAGGCTTTTTTAAGCCTTTTATTACGTCGGTTTTCTTGTGACACACTTGCTTTACTTGTATATAGTTATGGGCGCAAAATGACCTTGTAGTCGGCGCGCCCTTAAGCCCCAATAAACAAACAACAAGGGGATCTCCCGCCACCCACACATATGGCCACCCACACTAGAAGTTTCCGCGGGAACTTGCCTATGGGTCGATGTTTCACATCTTCTGGCGCGTCTCCACCAGGGCCAGGGTAGTAACCCTGTTGGCTGGCATCCCACTTCCCTGATAGGTGAAATAACTCTCATCGTCCATCACCACCTCGAGATCCGCGTCCGTGTTGAGCACTTCACTCACCAACCGTCGTATCCGGATCTTTTGGGACTTACGCTGCTCCGGTGTAGTACTTTGGGCCTTGGTCCTTGTCCGGTATTTCAGTCCTTCCTCTGCTAGGATTTTTCGGACATAACTTTGGGAGATACCGAAGCGGCGGGCAAGAAGGCGCGTTGACACCCCCCACGCGATGGCGGGCCGCGAGGACCAGGGGCCGTATTCACGTCGACTTCGTAAGTCGATTTTCTTTCGTAAGTATAATTTGGTATTCACGTCGACACTTCTTAAGTTTTTATCGACGGAGTTCACGTGATTAAAAAAATTTACTTAAGAAGTAGGTCAAACTTAAGAAAATTCTTACGAAAATGATCGACGTGAATACGGCCCCAGAGCACGTCTCTTCTGCCGGAGCATCTTGGCCACAGGTCGTCAACTTTTTCCCGTGCTGGCATGCGTAACATCTCCTCTTGCCTTCAAGTTTCTTATGATATTGTAGGTTGTCCTCTTCGCCACACCCATTTTTAGAAAATGGCTCACAATGTCACATTTTCGAAAATTGGGGTGGTTTTTGACAAATTCTGCCACAATGCTACGGACACCTGACTTGGTTAAGCCCTCCATGCTTAATGATTTCAAATTTCAGAAATTTCAAAATCCGCATGCATGTTATATTCCTAATGGTGTTTCATTGTGGAGAATTTCATGCAAATCTCATTTAAATTGGTGAGACTGCAAGCGAATTACAATTGTGCAGAAAGTAAGTGCTCACCCGTTACATAGTTGGAATTGCAACAGAAGTTATTGGTGTGGTTGTAATGAGTGGGGAGCCCGCACACTAGGGGGCCCGCTTTGGAGGCGATGACCCCCCCCCCCCCCCGAAACGAAATCCTGGCTGCGCCACTGGTGCAGGTGGTATGACTCCAGCCCCGTTGTGCCTCGGGCGCAGCGGTAGACCGGCAGGGTGACGCCGCCCATCCGGGAGGTGCCGGTCTGCACGTAGAGCGGCGGACACGCGGCCTCCTCGGGGTCCTGAAGGCAGACCACGAGCCGCCGCTGTTCCTCCCAGATGAAGGCCATCTCGGGCCTCATGTCCCGACGCAGGTCCTCGAGTCAGGTCAATGAAGGTGAAATACGTAAAACAAACGTACAATCATTAAATTCACAGCCCGAATATGCGTAGCAACGTTGGTCATGTTGGCATATGCAATATTTACAATTATCGATAGTAATTGGTATATTAATAATAATTATAACTATAACGTTATTCTCGCACACAAGGAATATGAACTATAAATGCCGTAGCTGATAAATGGTGTTACTGGAACAAGAACAAAAAAAAGTTGTAATGGTTCATATAAAAAGCAGATGAAATATTGCTTACTTACCTGTCCATGGTGACATTCCGCCCCGTACCGGCGAAGTCCTCCACCAAATGCTGCACCAGTGCCGGCACGGAGTCCAGGACCACCCCTGGTGGCGCCTGGTCGGGCTGCATCGGCCATCCTGAGTGCGGCCAGATCTTCAGGACGTAGGTACCGTTGGTAGGCGTCTGACACCGACCGTACCAGGATGCCGTAGCGTCCTGGTTTGCTGGGCATGAAGACTCTTGCTTCGGTTCCACTGGGTGGTGCGCGGGATTCGGCCCTGGGGCACGGGCTCGTCAGGAGCGTTGGCCGAGGTTTCTTTTTTTTAAGATTTTTTGAATATTTCCTTGGTTTTGGCCTCGGCCAGCCACTCGTCTAAAGTGTAGCCCTCTTCCTCAGCCACTTCAGGCCAAAGGGAAATCCTTTGGAAAAGGTGTGGCCGGTACTTTTAGTTTTCCTTTTTCCACAGCCCCTGCAGGTTCGAACCTGCTTGGGCGGCTCCGACACTGGTAGTAGTGCTCCGCACCATCAACCGCGCCCTGCACCCTTCCGGCATGAATTCGCCGACCCAGGCAGGGCAACCCTTGAAACTCCGGTGCGGCACTGACCCTTCCGAGGGTCGAGGGTCGTAAGCCGTGGAACCTTCCATGGGTCGGGGGAATCTCGTACGAACCTCTTACCGGAAACAAACAACTCACCAAGAATATCATACGGAGGCTCGTTCCTTCGTATCGTTTTTGTTGTTCTTTCATTCGTACTTCGTAGGTATTCGTTTTTCCTCATACACGTCTTACAGAGACAACTTAAATAAACTTAACTTAAAATGATCAAATATGTGTGTTCGTGAGCTTGTTGTGACATTACTTCAATTTTACCAAGGCAAACTTGAAAACCGAGTGACTGTGCGTTTTTTTGAAAGTTTGTCTTCAGCTTGTCAGGTCAGAAATATACGGGAGAACAGATATGGGGTTTGTAAAAAAAAAAAAAAAAAAATACGGTGACATTGCTTGATTTACCAAGGCAAACTTGAAAACCGAGTGACTCCGTTTTTTTTTTTTTTTTGAAAGTTTGTCTTCAGCTTGTCAGGTCAGAAATATACGGGAGAACAGATATGGGGTTTGGAAAGAAAAAGGACACGGCGATATGCTGAATTGTTGTAACGTTTCCACGTATTACCGACGTTCCGATTACCCTGTACTGTACTGAGAGCCCCGTTCTTACCAGTGCGTACTCGACGGGCGGCCGGTACCGCGGCAACAGCACTGGCACGCCCAGCTGCGCCGACGGCTCGTTGGCGCGGCGCTGCAGCGCGGCATCATGGGGCCGCGGCCGCCTCTGCTACTGTGGCTGGACTGCCGTGTCAGGCCGGTCGCTGATCCAGCACACCATCCACTCCAGCAGGTGGGTGATGGAGACGGGGCTAGTGGCGTCAAAGGGTGCGACGACGGGGGCCGCAGCGTCAATGTAAGCCGCATTTGCTCAGATGTTTGCATCATATTGGGATCGACACATAAATGAAGATAGTCTAAATTCGAGAGTTTCAAGGATTTATTTCTAGCGGCTCTAGAAACTATATAGCACTGTGAAGATCGATGAAGGATCCAGTCTTGAGCTCTCCAAAGTAGTTTTCAATTAAATGTTCGGTGAATTGTAACGAAGACGGAAGATATTGCTCATCAAACATTAACATTTTGTTGTTAGTTTTCTGTGGCACAGGGTTACTTTCAGTCTATTGATAACACGACTTGTCGGGCTCAGGGTATGAGGCGGCGATAGACAATGAAATATCCAACCAGATGGCATCTCGAGTTTTCAGGTTTTTTGTCTACACTTAGCTTATATCAGCTGTGAAAATGGTCAATTCCGTCAGATTTCGAATTGTTGTTTTCAGCGCCTCCTCCTGGAGCTGGCGGACGCAACGGATGTGCTCGGCACGCTCGGCCTGCTGAACGTATATACTCTGGCTGAACACGGTCGAGATGGCCTCCATCTGGGATGAGCAGCGGCGGCACAAGGTCTGTCCTCAGGATCGCGTGTCCGCTGCTGTGCGTGCACACCGGTACCTTCTGTCACCCTGTCCGTGTACCGCTGCTCCAGGGGTACAGCTGGCCGGGAGTGGTGCCACCTGCACCCCTGCTGGCTTATCCTCTGCTAGCTTATTCGGGGTGAGTAAAGCACCGCAGCGTGCTGTGCTGTCCCGAAGCATGTGCGTGCCCAACTTTCACCGAGTAAATCACGAATAAAGTAGGTTTAAACGCGCCGAGAGATGCGTACGTGATTTTTGAACGCATTATGTTTGAAGCATTGCTTAATTTAGTTTGAGCAATTGGATACATGAAATGTGATAACAAGCCGGTAAAATCCATGCCTTTTAAGTAACACTAATATCGTTAAGTCGTTAAGTCTGTGATTCAATGGTTAGAAGCAAATGCATAAATCGCTTCAGTGCTTCACTTTTTCGAGAAAGCATATGTGTAATTTGTAATTCCTGTTTTTTCTTCATTCATAGGCTCAACTACCGCATGTGGAGCGGTCGCGGCCCATCGAGGGTGGCGGCAGAGGCAGCCCCCCTGGAAGCCGCGGTACCGGCAGAGACGGCTAGGGCAGCGGGACTGCTGCTGTATGTGACCCCGGCCGAATTACCGTCCGGCCTGCCGCCCTCAACGTCACGGCACCACCTAATATGGCCATGGGACTTGGAGCCGCGGCCATGGTGAAGGAGTACCACTACAAGAGGCGACGGGGTTCGGGGTGCGTGCGTGCGCGGCAGTGGGGGCGGGCGGAAAGGGTGGGTACTGGGGCGGCGGCGGGGGCGCCCCAGCGGGCACGGATCATCTGCTTATGCGACAGCCACGCGAGGCGTGTGGCCCGCCGGTCAGGTTGACGGCCCGATGGAGGCTGTGTATCTGTGAGTGGCCTCTGGGGTGCGACATTTGGGACTGCAGCCGAGGACTGTCGGCATATTCCGGCGGCAGCTGGGCCCCTACGTCTCGTCGCCGCTCCCCGTCCCTGGCTTGTTAGTACTTAGCAGTGCGGCGATGCTCGGTGCGCCGTGGCCAGCTGTCCGACGCCGACCTCGTGTTCCGGCGGCTGTGCGACACCCTGCGTCCTCCTGGACGTCCAACAGCTGCTGAAGGCCGAGGGCTCGGCGCCTGACGGCTGGCTTCGCCGTGTCCCTTCCCATGGTCCACTGGGCGGTACGGTAGTTCGGACCGCGGAGGGTAGCTCCGGGAACGCCTGCTCCCTTTCCCCCTGCCTCAGGATTGCCCGAGGCTTTGGGTGAAGGACTTTGGCGCCGACGAAGTCAATATCCACGGCCTGAACTACCGCACCATCCGGGCGGATGCGGAGGAGGTGGTCATACTGGCAGCCGCCCAGCCCCAGCACCGGATATTACCGTCTGCGGCGCGCCGGCCAGTGCCGGCGCTGCGGCTCTCCGACCGGCGACAGAGCTAGGCACTAGACGATAGCGAGAGAGATGCGCATTCGCAACCTTATGAGTAGAGCGTAGTGAAAGGTGGCCGCGTGCGTGTCAAGGGAGAGGTGGCTGCAGGCCGCTGGTGTCAGGCTCGCGAGAGGAGTGGCGCTCTAGATACCGTCATTTGATTTGACCTGTTTGACTACACCTGTGATTTTTTTGTCTGAGGACGCCAAGTGATTTTATTCGTCTGTCACATGAAGTATCTACACTTTTAAGTATTACATCACATTCAAACACAAACTCTGCACAAAGAAATGACTCAAGAACTGAAGTCAAGCGTCACATACACATACACCTATACACACAGAGCCGGTCGGGGTCTTTCCGCCGTCGGTGCCGCTACCCCGTGCTCCCTAGCGCGCCGCGGACACAGCGCCCCTCCGGCTCCCTCCACGCTGACTGCTTGGTTGCAAAGGTGTTTGTGGAAGTAGAAGAATATGTATCCGTTTATCTGGTGTCCCTCGCCCAAAACTTCGGCCTCGTCGACGCAGCTGACTCGGCGATCGTCATAATGGTATACCATCGGTCCCTGTCGACGCTGTATACGTCCGACACGTAGTGTCCCGAGTGCGTGGCGCCGCCGTGGTGGCTGACGACGCTCACCAGTCGGTAGGTAAAGTCGCCGGCCAGGTCCACTGAGCAGAGAGACTGGTCGTCTTCCACGCAGGACTTCGGGAAATGTACCTGCTCCGAGGCGTCGGCCGGCGCTCCCTCCTCCAGCGACCTCATCATGGCTTCCTTGAGCTCGCGGTCTTCGCGGGTCCGCGCCGGATTGGACTCGGGGTCGGCGTCCTGCGCTACCAGCTCGGCCTGCGCTGGCGGCAGCGGCGGTGGCTCGGCACCGGTCGCTGACATGGGACGCGCCGGCGCCGCGGCTCCGGCCGTCACCGGCGAGCCGACGGCGGCGGACTCTGGCAGGCCGACGGTGGCGGCCGGTACTGGAGACGGTCCCCGGGCAGTGGCCGGCGGCGACGGACCCGAGCTGGGCGCCTCAGACTCCTCGAACTCGGGGAGGGTGCATCGGGAAGGCTTTGAGCACTTCCACTCGGGAGGCCGGGTGACGTCGTCCGCGACATACTCGTTTAGCGAAAGGAACTTCGGAATGTCAACATTGGCACGGATTTTTATCGATTTTCCTCCACCTGTGATTGTTATTTAACTTGTGTGATTACGAAGTTTTTTTTTTACACGAGACGAATATCAGGGTTAGTGACTGTTTTACAAGACTAATTTTTTTAGATCAGATTGGTAATGGTAAATGACTATGGACTGTTTCATAAGACTTTAATTTTTTAGACCAGATTGGTTATGACTATGCCTGTGTTTACGTTTGTTTTAGTGGTGACTGATATAAAGTGAGTTTAATTTCTTCCGAAGGCTGGTATATGTATCGGATTGTGCGTTTGGTACCAATTGTGTTACGTGATTGTGGACGATTGCCGCAACCATTTTGAGGCGAAAGTACGGCTTATCCAATAAATGTCTTAAAAATAGACCTTTCTGAGTTTCGGAGACTGGTTCGTAACTGAAGCGACTGCGATTGGTTTGAAATTGGGCATCGAAGATGTTGTCGGCGAGCGATGACAATATACGTGGCTAGCAGGAACGTGTCCGAGGCAGGCGCGGATACAAGGGGGGGGCCATGGGGGCCATGGCCCCCCCCTTGGCCGATTTTTTTTCAAAAATAAAATAAAAAGTTAAAAAGTTAAAAAGCTGAAAAGGGGGCCTCCTGAAAATAAAGTGGCCGAAATCCGATGAGTTTTTTTTTTTAACCTACCCACTTAGTTATTTCTTAGAAGACTAGCTGAGAAGATTTCTTTGTTAGAAGATTGGTAAAGCTTTTCATAACTTGGAGGTCTCTTATACTCACAGAGATGACCACTTTTACAGGGCCTCCTAACCTGCACAGAGGGCCTCCAAGCCTGCACAGATGTTGAGATGTTGCCTGAACAGCTAGATAAGCTCAATAGACGCAGTTTTTTTGGGGGGGGGCCAACAAGTGGGAAGATGGGGCCTCCAACAGGTGGGATTATGGGGGGGGGGCCTCCTGGTTTCTAATGGCCCCTCCCTTGGAGATTTTCTGGATCCGCCCCTGGTCCGAGGAAGCCGTACAGGGTACGAGCTGCGGAGAAAGGTGTAAGGCATGACTTGGGATGGGACAGCTCTGCCCGGCTATGGCTGAGCGACGGCCGGACGCAAGACCACCCAAGAAATACAGTATGCTCTCCGCTAACCAGAGTAAGAGGCGGAACCCGAGAAACGTTAATCCGGGCACGTCCTGTAAGGGTATCTACTATCCTCCTAACACATATTAATACGCGCCGGGCGGGAGGGGATCGTTGAACAATGAACACCCCCCCCCCCCCCCCCTCCGTCTTAACGTCCCAAATCTTAACATGCATCGCTCATTTTTTATGTCTGGTTTCAGAGGTCAATAAAGGTAAAAAATAGTGCACATCGTAACATGTTTCAAAGCATCGGCACGACCAATAGAGATATAGCACCGCGTAACAGCGCCATCGATAGCCCTTTAATATCAGTTTAAAGTGGCCATCCCACCTTAACACAAGTATAACGCCTTTTGGGGCGACTAACGGAGCGAGCGAGAGGGTGAGCCTTGCGAGGGGTACCTCCAACTGACTTGTGCACGGCGCCAAACTAAGCGGTCTAGCGATGTGCCAAATTTGAGCACAATCGGCCCAGCCGTTCTCGAGATCTGGAAACGACCCCTGCACGTGCGCACGCGCATCAGCACCCCTACTCTGGCACATGGATATGCATTGTCTAGTGGGTGCCTACCTACATGCCAACTTTGAGCGCAATCGGCCAAGTAGTTACCGAGATATTGCAACAATTACAAAACTGACACCTCTTCGTTTTGCACGTGGCACGTGCATAAGGGGTCACCCAAATGCATCGGGAATAGCCCAATACTCGGTAGAAGGAATGAAGCTACCCTACAAAAATTACCGCATGTAAATCGGTCAAGTGGTTGCTGAGATATAAGCCTCGCAAAAGCGTCCGAACGGCCGGCCGGGCGGCCGCTCATACTCAGAAATGTCCGTTAATCTAAGGAAAGACTACGCTCAAACTACGCTCGCTTCGCTCGCTCCGTAATTAGTTTTGAGTTGAGATAGCCATTCATTCATTAGTTTTCCTTTTTCCACAGCCCCTGCAGGTTCGAACCTGCTTGGGCGGCTCCGACACTGGTAGTAGGTCAGCTCAAGCTACTGCCCTACTACCCACTGGTAGTAGTGCTCCGCACCATCAACCGCGCCCTGCACCCTTCCGGCATGAATTCGCCGACCCAGGCAGGGCAACCCTTGAAACTCCGGTGCGGCACTGACCCTTCCGAGGGTCGAGGGTCGTAAGCCGTGGAACCTTCCATGGGTCGGGGGAATCTCGTACGAACCTCTTACCGAAACAAACAACTCACCAAGAATATCATACGGAGGCTCGTTCCTTCGTATCGTTTTTGTTGTTCTTTCATTCGTACTTCGTAGGTATTCGTTTTTCCTCATACACGTCTTACAGAGACAACTTAAATAAACTTAACTTAAAATGATCAAATATGTGTGTTCGTGAGCTTGTTGTGACATTACTTCAATTTTACCAAGGCAAACTTGAAAACCGAGTGACTGTGCGTTTTTTGAAAGTTTGTCTTCAGCTTGTCAGGTCAGAAATATACGGGAGAACAGATATGGGGTTTGTAAAAAAAAAATACGGTGACATTGCTTGATTTACCAAGGCAAACTTGAAAACCGAGTGACTCCGTTTTTTTTTTTTTTTTGAAAGTTTGTCTTCAGCTTGTCAGGCCAGAAATATACAGGAGAACAGATATGGGGTTTGGAAAGAAAAAGGACACGGCGATATGCTGAATTGTTGTAACGTTTCCACGTATTACCGACGTTCCGATTACCCTGTACTGTACTGAGAGCCCCGTTCTTACCAGTGCGTAGGTACTCGACGGGTGGCCGGTACCGCGGCAACAGCACTGGCACGCCCAGCTGCGCCGACGGCTCGTTGGCGCGGCGCTGCAGCGCGGCATCATGGGGCCGCGGCCGCCTCTGCTACTGTGGCTGGACTGCCGTGTCAGGCCGGTCGCTGATCCAGCACACCATCCACTCCAGCAGGTGGGTGATGGAGACGGGGCTAGTGGCGTCAAAGGGTGCGATGACGGGGGCCGCAGCGTCAATGTAAGCCGCATTTGCTCAGATGTTTGCATCATATTGGGATCGACAAATTAATGAAGATAGTCTAAATTCGAGAGTTTCAAGGATTTATTTCTAGCGGCTCTAGAAACTATATAGCACTGTGAAGATCGGTGAAGGATCCAGTCTTGAGCTCTCCAAAGTAGTTTTCAATTAAATGTTCGGTGAATAGTAACGAAGACGGAAGATATTGCTCATCAAACATTAACATTTTGTTATTAGTTTTCTGTGGCACAGGGTTACTTTCAGTCTATTGATAACACGACTTGTCGGGCTCAGGGTATGAGGCGGCGATAGACAATGAAATATCCAACCAGATGGCATCTCGAGTTTTCAGGTTTTTTGTCTACACTTAGCTTATATCAGCTGTGAAAATGGTCAATTCCGTCAGATTTCGAATTGTTGTTTTCAGCGCCTCCTCCTGGAGCTGGCGGACGCAACGGATGTGCTCGGCACGCTCGGCCTGCTGAACGTATATACTCTGGCTGAACACGGTCGAGATGGCCTCCATCTGGGATGAGCAGCGGCGGCACAAGGTCTGTCCTCAGGATCGCGTGTCCGCTGCTGTGCGTGCACACCGGTACCTTCTGTCACCCTGTCCGTGTACCGCTGCTCCAGGGGTACAGCTGGCCGGGAGTGGTGCCACCTGCACCCCTGCTGGCTTATCCTCTGCTAGCTTATTCGGGGTGAGTAAAGCACCGCAGCGTGCTGTGCTGTCCCGAAGCATGTGCGTGCTCAACTTTCACCGAGTAAATCACGATTAAAGTAGGTTTAAACGCGCCGAGAGATGCGTACGTGATTTTTGAACGCATTGTGTTTGAAGCATTGTTCTTAGGTGTTGTTTTTATCCGCTGGGACTGAGAGCGTGAGATGATGTTTTTCGTACTCCAGCGTAGATGGGTAGCCATACGGCTTCCACGGTAGACAGTGATGACATCAGTCATCTTTTGCAAGCTCGTTAAAGAATTTGGGCTGTACGGGGACTCGAACCCCGGGCCTTTGGATTAGCGCTCCAATGCTCTACCTCTGAGCTATACAGACCAAGTGCTTTAACGAGCTTTCTGCCAAGTTTTATGCGGATCATTCTTAGGTGTTGTTTTTATCCGCTGGGACTGAGAGAGTCCCAGCGGATGAGTACGGGGACCCGGGGTTCGAGTCCCCGTACAGCCCAAATTCTTTAACGAGCTTGCAAAAGATGACTGATGTCATCACTGTCTACCGTGGAAGCCGTATGGCTACCCATCTACGCTGGAGTACGAAAAACATCATCTCACGTTTGAAGCATTGCTTAATTTAGTTTGAGCAACTGGATACATGAAATGTGATAACAAGCCGGTAAAATCCATGCCTTTTAAGTAACACTAATATCGTTAAGTCGTTAAGTCTGTGATTCAATGGTTAGAAGCAAATGCATAAATCGCTTCAGTGCTTCACTTTTTCGAGAAAGCATATGTGTAATTTGTAATTCCTGTTTTTTCTTCATTCATAGGCTCAACTACCGCATGTGGAGCGGTCGCGGCCCATCGAGGGTGGCGGCAGAGGCAGCCACCCTGGAAGCCGCGGTACCGGCAGAGACGGCTAGGGCAGCGGGACTGCTGCTGTATGTGACCCCGGCCGAATTACCGTCCGGCCTGCCGCCCTCAACGTCACGGCACCACCTAATATGGCCATGGGACTTGGAGCCGCGGCCATGGTGAAGGAGTACCACTACAAGAGGCGACGGGGTTCGGGGTGCGTGCGTGCGCGGCAGTGGGGGCGGGCGGAAAGGGGTGGGTACTGGTGCGGCGGCGGGGGCGCCCCAGCGGGCGCGGATCATCTGCTTGTGCGACAGCCACGCGAGGCGTGTGGCCCGCCGGTCAGCACGACGGCCCGATGGAGGCTGTGTACCTGTGAGTGGCCTCTGGGGTGCGACATACGGGACTGCAGCCGAGGACTGCCAGCACATTCCGGCGGCAGCGGGGCCCCTACGTCTCGTCGCCGCTCCCCGCCCCTGAGCTTGTTAGTACTTAGCAGTGCGGCGATGCTCGGTGCGCCGTGGCCAGCTGTCCGACGCCGACCTCGTGTTCCGGCGGCTGTGCGACACCCTGCGTCCTCCTGGACGTCCAACAGCTGCTGAAGGCCGAGGGCTCGGAGCCTGACGGCTGGCCTCGCCGCGTCCCTTCCCATGGTCCACTGGGCGGTACGGTAGTTGGGACCGCGGAGGGTGGCTCCGGGCACGCCTGCTCCCTTTCCCCCTGCCTCAGGATTGCCCGAGGCTTTGGGTGAAGGACTTTGGCGCCGACGAAGTCAATATCCACGGCCTGAACTACCGCACCATCCGGGCGGATGCGGAGGAGGTGGTCAATGGTCATACCGGCAGCCGCCCAGCCCCAGCACCGTGTATTACCGTCTGCGGCGCGCCGGCCAGTGCCGGCGCTGCGGCTCTCCGACCGGCGACAGAGCTAGGCGCTAGACGATAGCGAGAGAGATGCGCATTCGCAACCTTATGAGTAGAGCGTAGTGAAAGGTGGCCGCGTGCGTGTCAAGGGAGAGGTGGCTGCAGGCCGCTGGTGTCAGGCTCGCGAGAGGAGTGGCGCTCTAGATACCGTCATTTGATTTGACCTGTTTGACTACACCTGTGATTTTTTTGTCTGAGGACGCTAAGTGATTTTATTCGTCTGTCACATGAAGTATCTACACTTTTAAGTATTACATCACATTCAAACACAAACTCTGCACAAAGAAATGACTCAAGAACTGAAGTCAAGCGTCACATACACATACACCTATACACACAGAGCCGGTCGGGGTCTTTCCGCCGTCGGTGCCGCTACCCTGTGCTCTCTAGCGCGCCGCGGTCACAGCGCCCCTCCGGCTCCCTCCATGCTGACTGCTTGGTTGCAAAGGTCTTTGTGGAGGTAGAAGAATATGTATCCGTTTCTCTGGTGTCCCTCGCCCAAAACTTCGGCCTCGTCGACGCAGCTGACTCGGCGATCGTCATAATGGTACCATCGGTCCCTGTCGACGCTGTATACGTCCGACACGTAGTGTCCCGAGTGCGTGGCGCCGCCGTGGTGGCTGACGACGCTCACCAGTCGGTAGGTAAAGTCGCCGGCCAGGTCCGTTGAGCAGAGAGACTGGTCGTCTTCCACGCAGGACTTCGGGAAATGTACCTGCTCCGAGGCGTCGGCCGGCGCTCCCTCCTCCAGCGACCTCATCATGGCTTCCTTGAGCTCGCGGTCTTCGCGGGTCCGCGCCGGATTGGACTCGGGGTCGGCGTCCTGCGCTACCAGCTCGGCCTGCGCTACCAGCTCGGCCTGCGCTGGCGGCAGCGGCGGTGGCTCGGCACCGGTCGCTGACATGGGACGCGCCGGCGCCGCGGCTCCGGCCGACACCGGCGAGCCGACGGCGGCGGACTCTGGCAGGCCGGCGGTGGCGGCCGGTACTGGAGACGGTCCCCGGGCGGTGGCCGGCGGCGACGGACCCGAGCTGGGCGCCTCAGACTCCTCGAACTCGGGGAGGGTGCATCGGGAAGGCTTTGAGCACTTCCACTCGGGAGGCCGGGTGACGTCGTCCGCGACATACTCGTTTAGCGAAAGGAACTTCGGAATGTCAACATTGGCACGGATTTTTATCGATTTTCCTCCACCTGTGATTGTTATTTAACTTGTGTGATTACGAAGTTTTTTTTTTTTACACGAGACGAATATCAGGGTTAGTGACTGTTTTACAAGACTAATTTTTTTAGATCAGATTGGTAATGGTAAATGACTATGGACTGTTTCATAAGACTTTAATTTTTTAGACCAGATTGGTTATGACTATGCCTGTGTTTACGTTTGTTTTAGTGGTGACTGATATAAAGTGAGTTTAATTTCTTCCGAAGGCTGGTATATGTATCGGATTGTGCGTTTGGTACCAATTGTGTTACGTGATTGTGGACGATTGCCGCAACCATTTTGAGGCGAAAGTACGGCTTATCCAATAAATGTCTTAAAAATAGACCTTTCTGAGTTTCGGAGACTGGTTCGTAACTGAAGCGACTGCGATTGGTTTGAAATTGGGCATCGAAGATGTTGTCGGCGAGCGATGACAATATACGTGGCTAGCAGGAACGTGTCCGAGGCAGGCGCGGATACAAGGGGGGGGCCATGGGGGCCATGGCCCCCCCCTTGGCCGATTTTTTTTCAAAAATAAAATAAAAAGTTAAAAAGTTAAAAAGCTGAAAAGGGGGCCTCCTGAAAATAAAGTGGCCGAAATCCGATGAGTTTTTTTTTTTTAACCTACCCACTTAGTTATTTCTTAGAAGACTAGCTGAGAAGATTTCTTTGTTAGAAGATTGGTAAAGCTTTTCATAACTTGGAGGTCTCTTATACTCACAGAGATGACCACTTTTACAGGGCCTCCTAACCTGCACAGAGGGCCTCCAAGCCTGCACAGATGTTGAGATGTTGCCTGAACAGCTAGATAAGCTCAATAGACGCAGTTTTTTTTGGGGGGGCCAACAAGTGGGAAGATGGGGCCTCCAACAGGTGGGATTATGGGGGGGGGGCCTCCTGGTTTCTAATGGCCCCTCCCTTGGAGATTTTCTGGATCCGCCCCTGGTCCGAGGAAGCCGTACAGGGTACGAGCTGCGGAGAAAGGTGTAAGGCATGACTTGGGATGGGACAGCTCTGCCCGGCTATGGCTGAGCGACGGCCGGACGCAAGACCACCCAAGAAATACAGTATGCTCTCCGCTAACCAGAGGAAGAGGCGGAACCCGAGAAACGTTAATCCGGGCACGTCCTGTAAGGGTATCTACTATCCTCCTAACACATATTAATACGCGCCGGGCGGGAGGGGATCGTTGAACAATGAACACCCCCCCCCCCCCTCCGTCTTAACGTCCCAAATCTTAACATGCATCGCTCATTTTTTATGTCTGGTTTCAGAGGTCAATAAAGGTAAAAAATAGTGCACATCGTAACATGTTTCAAAGCATCGGCACGACCAATAGAGATATAGCACCGCGTAACAGCGCCATCGATAGCCCTTTAATATCAGTTTAAAGTGGCCATCCCACCTTAACACAAGTATAACGCCTTTTGGGGCGACTAACGGAGCGAGCGAGAGGGTGAGCCTTGCGAGGGGTACCTCCAACTGACTTGTGCACGGCGCCAAACTAAGCGGTCTAGCGATGTGCCAAATTTGAGCACAATCGGCCCAGCCGTTCTCGAGATCTGGAAACGACCCCTGCACGTGCGCACGCGCATCAGCACCCCTACTCTGGCACATGGATATGCATTGTCTAGTGGGTGCCTACCTACATGCCAACTTTGAGCGCAATCGGCCAAGTAGTTACCGAGATATTGCAACAATTACAAAACTGACACCTCTTCGTTTTGCACGTGGCACGTGCATAAGGGGTCACCCAAATGCATCGGGAATAGCCCAATACTCGGTAGAAGGAATGAAGCTACCCTACAAAAATTACCGCATGTAAATCGGTCAAGTGGTTGCTGAGATATAAGCCTCGCAAAAGCGTCCGAACGGCCGGCCGGGCGGCCGCTCATACTCAGAAATGTCCGTTAATCTAAGGAAAGACTACGCTCAAACTACGCTCGCTTCGCTCGCTCCGTAATTAGTTTTGAGTTGAGATAGCCATTCATTCATTCATTGGCGTTTATTGACCTTGGGTATGGGGGGAGACACAAACGCAAACATGGCACATTAAAACGATGCAAACAATACACAGTGGCGCGGGAACCGGGGGGGCTGAGCCCCTCCAACTTTTCGGCTGGGGGGGCTCGTAATGTATTTGAGCCCCCCCCCCCCAGCTGGAGGAATCGAAATCGGAAATCTACCAACACAATTTCATAGATTCATACATAGGCGCGGGAACCGGGGGAGAGGGCAGTGGGGGAAGCTTGCCCTCACAACTCTGGGGCCGTGGGGGCGGTGCCTCACAACTTTTCATGAGGCCAGGAACCGTTGGGGCAGCTTGTCCTCTCTCCAAATTAGGGGTTGTGAGTCACAAAGGAAGAAAGCATGCGAGTCAGTGGCGGCGGAAGGTATTCTAGGATAGGGGTGCAAACGATATTGAAGCGCCCCTTCCCACTGGGCGCCCCTTACCATATACACGGTTGTAGTAACACAAACAGTGAAGAGACGTTTGACAATGTGTTGTACCTGTTAACACGTTCAGAATTACAGTTTTTTATGTAACGAGAAATAGTTAGGTACATTCCATAGCGTAAATGTAACCTTCATAATGTTCGTTTAGAAACAACCTCATCACCATAAGATTCTCCGAATAAGGCATATCGAAAAGAGTTCCACGGTTCCAATACCTTCGTGTGGACTAGTGAATAAGGCGCCGAATCCATAACACTAACTCGGTGACAGAAAACTGCAGGCCGGTAAGCAGCATGCCGCCTGGGCTGCACTGCACTATTGCATTCAGTGGTGTCATCAGTATCACGTCAGCCCTTCGGAACGGACATCCTGGCTCAATGTCATCAGGTTTATGGTGGGAGTAGCAGGTTTGTGACACCCCAGTGAAATAAATGCCGCCTTTCAACACCGATAGGAGCCCGAAATGAATGAATACAGGCAATCAACGCTGGTAGGTGTCCCAGCGAAATGAATGCATCTATTACCACCCAGAGGTGCCCCCATTTCAAATTAATACGACGGCGACGCCTCCACACCGATAGGGGCCCATCCCAGGGGAACGGAATAAATGCCGCCCCCTCATTGCCGGGCGCCCCAGGAGAATGAATGTTACACATCAACACCAATATGCCTCCCAGTGAAATGAATTATGAATGTCGCCTTTCGACGCCGGTAGGCGCCCCAGACACCAGTGGATTTACTGCCGCCTTAAAACACCGATAGGCACCTCAGTGAAGCGAATGCCGGCCTTTACCACCGATAAGCGCCCCGGATGAATAAATACCACCCGTCAACGCCGATAGGCGCCTCAGTGAAATTAATGCCGCCCCAATCTCCGATAGGCGCCCCAGGTGATACATGTCGCCCATCAACACCAACGGGCGCCCCATTGAAATGAATACCGCCCTTCAACACTGGCAGACGCCCCAGTGGAATGAACGCCGCCCTACAATGCCGATGGCCGTCCCTGCACTGGAAAATCATTTTCGCCCCTATACAGGCGCCCATAGAAGTTTGCAAAGTGCTATTCCTGGTCATAATCATCTCCCCAGTAAAAAAAAAAAACGCAAAATACGCCCTAGCACTAGGGGTGTAACCGCCCATACGGAGAGTGCAATTTTACAGGCCCCAATCTCGGACCTCCCTTAACATTCATATGTTGTAAACGGCAAACCGCCCCCGATAAATGTTACCCAAACTAATTTCCTCTCGCATATCGGCCATCAGGCGCCCCTTTTTGTCGCATGGAGCCTGCAACGCTATAAGCCCTCATATGTTCGTGCATTGGCGTTCGGAGGCTATCGCCTTCAAAGACGTCTCCATAAATGTTTCTTTTTCGTCCCACACACAGGCGCCCCTCTTTCGCATGCAGGCGCCCCTCTTCCGCATGGCGCGCTTCTCGAGTGGCTGCGCCCTCCTAGCCTTTAATCTTTATCGCCTGGCAAGATTATATTCGACAGGGTCGGCAGCATCTGCCTTTGTTTCAGATGATTCCCTCCACTCTTCAGCATATCAAAAGATACTTTTCCCACGTCATTGCCACAAGTGCCTTTATCAGTTGCGGTGTCGCACTGCTCAGCTTTATGGCTGCCGCACCTCTTAACTTCCTGCCTCCTCTACAGATTTTCGAGGCGCCCCTTTCCATAGCTTTAGGGTGCAGCTGCCCCCCTTGCCCCCCTGCTTCCGCCGCCACTGATGCGAGTGAAAAATCTACCTATTTTACTGACTCGGCAACTCATTTGGCAGCTTAAAACCTTTATTCCAGGTTGCCAAAACGGTAGTTTCTTCACTCAGCTGAGACGGAATACCTCACTTTTTTGCAAATATTTTCTTCTTTTTTTTTCGTTGAAAAGGCCAAGGTCTGAAAAATAAGTGGCCTAAAACCGATGAGAAAGCCAGATTTGGGGGTACCCTAGGTTGATCTCTATGATGGTTCAGCCCAAGATACCTATAAGAAACAGGTAGATCCGATGTTTGAAAGTAAAGCCCCAGTCACAAATTTGACGCACCTGTGACATTTCCTGACACCCACGTGACTATTGTATTAACTTTTGTGTTTTGCGATGTTTTGACCTTATTTAAAGTACTGAAAGCTCAAAATGTATTATTAATGTTTTTTAAAGCAGCATATTAATAATTATGTTTGTAAATTATCGATAAGCTGCTTACAGCAGGTCACGTGATTGCTACCAGATTATGTGCTCAGA